CCTTGCTTCATCTTCTGTATTTTAAAACAGACCACTCCAAGAGCCGGATGGATTAAAAGAGAGGTTCAAAATCCAGAATCTATAGCTGATCACATGTATCGTATGGGTCTTATGGCTCTGATTTCTTCAGATATTCCTGGTGTTAACAGAGACAAGTAAAGATTTCTTGGTTGCTTCTTTCTTTTAACTTGTAAAAAAAAAACTCTTCATTTAAACTTTTCTTTCTTTCTTCAGATGCATGAAAATGGCAATTGTTCACGACATTGCAGAAGGTTAGTTCTTTCACTTATATAGAGAGTGTAGTTGAGTTCGATAATTGCTGAAGGACTGATAGTTGGAATCGATAATTGTTGTTGAGCAGCTATTGTAGGAGACATTACACCTTCTTGTGGGGTCTCTAAAGAAGAGAAAAATAGAAGAGAAACCGAAGCACTTGAACACATGTGCAAACTCTTAGGTGGAGGAGAAAGAGGTCCATACGCTTCACTTCTCTTCTCTCATTTTGAATACATCTTTGATAATCGTGGGCTTGTTCGCATAATGTTATCATGTCTAAAGAATGTGTATATGGTAATTGCAGCTAAAGAAATCGCAGACCTTTGGAGAGAATACGAAGCAAACTCTTCACCCGAAGCCAAAGTTGTTAAAGATTTCGATAAGCTTGAGATGATACTACAAGCTTTGGAATATGAACAGGGTATTTGTCTCAATAATATAATTTCTTTTGTTGGTTCCTGATTTCGACAATACGCAAAAACTAAAACTCATTTTTATTTTCGGTTGTTTTCCGCAGAGCAAGGGAAAGATCTAGATGAGTTTTTCCAATCAACCGCAGGTATTTTCTGTTGTAAATCATCATAATCCAAATACATAATCAGTATAAAGCATTAAACTTGTTGCTGTCTGATTCAGGGAAGTTCCAGACTGATATAGGCAAGGCTTGGGCCTCGGAGATTGCTTCAAGAAGAAGAAAACAACATTAGTTATTTCTCACTTGACTTTTTTGTTTTTTTTTGGTAAGTTTAGTTCTCACTGGAGTTTAAAAAAACCTTGTGTCCAAATTTAATCATGCTCAGATATTTAATTTTTTCTTTAGTAATCTTTCGATCTGTCTTTGCTTGTTTGTTATGAAAATTTTATCAATGAGATAGGTAGAAAGAGATTACTTCCAATCTTTATCATAACTGGATTATACTTCAAAATTTCAAAACTAAGACTTCAAGCATATGTGAGTTTCTGTGTTTCGAAACATCTTTTCAGTTACTGGATTGATGAGAAAAAAAATGTCATTGCAACCATTGAAAAAAGTCGATAAAAGAATTCGTAACTATCATTGGAATTTTCATCGTGTATCACTGATCTTGCTTTTCTTTGTACCTCGCCAAAACCGATTAAGCAACCACACATAATCTGCTTCAACTGAATACCCATCTTGGTTCCGATTCCAGCTGAAGTAGGCATGAGTTCTGTTTTTAATCTCCAGCAACCCGTGCCCAAAGCTAGCTTCTCGAAAGGAGGAGTAGCTTGGTTGTGGTTGCATCATGCTACATATATAGCAAGAAACAAGTCGTTAAATATATATTTAAAGAAAGAGTTTGCACAAATATGGTCAACTTACTCAGTAAGCAAGCCTTCAGAATTTCCTCCATCCCCAATTGTTATGTATACAGGTGCGGACTCATCTGATATTGGCTTACACAATCCATTGACAATGTTGTAAGCAATGTTAGAAACACGTTCCTGCACCATTACTTTTGAATCACTTTGGGGAAGGTTAGATTACATCAAATATCATTGGGGATTACTAAATATAATTTTACCGATCTCTCATATGCATGCACATGACCAGCAAACACAACATCAACCTTGAATTTGACAAACCACGGCTCGTATAAGACTCTTAATGTTTCACCTTCCATGTAATGATGCACATAGCTATGGTAAAACGGGCTATGTACTAAGACTATAAGCCATGGCGTCTCTGTTCGATTTACCCTTTGAAACTCATTTTCCAACCATTTGTATTGAGGAGTGTATATACCTATAATCAATCAGATGCAAAGTTAAGCCAAACAAAATAACCACTAAATACCTCCTTTTCTTAAAGCATTTCTTCTCTCTAATCCTTACCGTAAGATGAGTAACAAGACATAACAATAATATAAGCCGAAGCCCTCTTGATGGAATACCACAATGGAGAGATACTTCCTGATGCCTTATATGGCGTAGGATACCGATTCATATAAGGCTTGAATGGTTCTGTTTCACCCTGCAAAACAATCTCTTCAAGTTAAAAAAAAACCCAACCAAGAAGTCAAGTTTCCATTTCAAGAAACCAAAAATATTCAAGAGTTACAATGTCAGGAACATAGTCGATTTCATGGTTTCCTGCAGTCCATATCCAAGGTTGATAAGCAGCGTTTCTCTCAACAAATCTTCCCCAAGTATCCCATCTGTTGTTGTCGTGGTTCGGGTAGCGATCTGCGTAGGACAAGTCTCCTACGAACAGAACCGCCTGTCCTTTTCCTGGATTCATCTCATAATGACTTAATGTTCTGTTTGAATCATAAGTTTGTCCAAGATCCCCTGAAACGTATTAGGAATCCCACATGAAATCAAATATGTAAGGTTTAAACATTTACTGCAACTCAACTTTAGGTTAATACCAACATTTACTGCAACTCAACTTTAATACTACGTGTTACTAGTCGGAGCCAAGTATTCAAAGAAATAAGTTAATACCAATTAATCCAAAGGTGTAAGGAACGTCAGGGCCTGGTTTAGGCGGAGTAAAGAACCAAAACCGCCTTCGCCATTTCCCACTCCCAATTTCGTAGTAGTATTTCATATCAAACTGCAACACCATACAAAACAAATAAGTATTGGTTCATAAGTTTTAACTGATGATTTAGAAATCTCACTAATTTTAGAATCTATATATGTCGATTTTAATTCAAATAAGTGAGTTTTAGCAAAATAATCTAGCCTCTGTATTTTCAACTTAAATTCATTTTCTAAATCTCTTAAAATCCAATGTGAAATAAGATCTTAATCAAAATCCAATAAAAAGCCTTACTTGTAAATCATCGATGATGCAGTGGTGGATGTAACCAGACGTGTAATTGAAGAACCGGTAAGTGTTAACGGTTGCTTCAGCTTGGCTTTTCGGTTTCCCATTCTCATACCAATAGCGAACAGTGTTKGAACCGGGCTTAACCGGAGTAACCCATGAAATGATTACTCCATTACCTTCATGGTTACCTTGCGTTACATGAACCTGTTTCATTACAAAGGAGAAGAAACTGATGAGACCAYWKAAGATTTGTKGCASTATTTAAAAGAAAGAAWCWGCTGCAAAAWTTTTTAAAAARCTGTTGAGGYGTATTAGGACCCGAAGGAACTGTAAATACATCGCTGTCTAATGGCATGTCATTGGGTAAATCAGATCCTCTTATATATCCACTGGTCATTCCTCCATTGCATAACTCAACAAGAACACCAAACAGGAAGAGTATGAAGAAGACACGCATGATTGTTAGTTCAGATCTTGAACCTTTTTTTTTGTTTGTTTTTGTCAACAAATCTTGAACTTATCTTTAGTTTGTTTCCTGAATCCGAGAAGAGAAGATATCTTGGATTTGTTTATTTGCTCTTTACAATAAAGGATCGAAAGAGAATATTCGACCCTTTTTGTCTAAGTTTATTTTATTAATTGAATATGACCTCGCGATGGAACGATCAACTTGCACGGCTTTTATAATTAGAGGTTATCATCTGATTGATTCGATGTCAAAAATTTAAGAACTGATAAACGCAATTATCCGGAATATTCCTAGAAGTCATTCTTATTGTTTGAATGCTTGCTTTTAGGTTGGCATTACACAAGATGGTATCGGTATGCGATTAAATCAGGGTACAATCTAAAGCATCAAACTTCTTGTGTTGTTTCGGAGATGGAGTTTTAAAGATTAGATATGCCACTTAAGGATTAGATATATATGGAAAGCAAGAAACAAAAATAGCCAAAGATGGATCGAGATCCTAATGGAGTCCTGAGGGTGAGGGTGGCAGAAGCGGAGGCGTGACATTGGGAGGGGCTCCATTGGCCACACCAAATGTGGATGCGGTAGATTTATCTTGGCCGGCTTCTCATCCAACGATGAAACCTCTTGTGA